TCGGTCAAGGAATCCGTCTCAGTGCAAGGGTCGATGCTGCCGAAGTCCTCGGCAATTTCTATCATATGACAATATGGGATAACACAAGACACCCTCCTCATGTCCATGAGGGGACTCTCGAACAGCCGAACTGCCTACAGTGCCACACTCCTTCTCCGCGTGGCTACCTCCTCTGCCCTTTCCCGTCGGAAACGTTCCAAGAAGTCGTTCTGCTTTGAAATCAGTGAGCCGATATTGAACAACTCCCCTTTCTTCTGATTACGAGGAATTCCCTCTCAGAGTCGTAAGAGGCTCTCGGCCACAAGAACCCATAAGCTTGGACGATCAAGTTGGCGACAAAGGCTGCTCTTTGCCGCTGACTGTGCACTCACAGGCGATAGTAACAACGAAACATAACATGGTCGAAGTTAGAGCAATCCAAATATGAGTTTGTATTTAATACGATGTATTACAAATAAAATCTCGTATGAGGGTAACATAGATCATCATTGTCATGCTAGCGCAATAGTACGACGCTACTGGTTATTTTCAGCGGAGCCCGTGCGGGTCCGGTTCGCACTTAGATGGTTACAAAAATCCCTTGCATAGAAAGCCATCTGCAGATCCACATCCAAAGACCCAATTGCAGGAGGGCGTAAGTGAGCATGACGGGCGCTTGAGTATATCCCTTGGTCAGCACATACAATACATTTCCGGTTGTAGGATCAGCGACGTAGATGCTTCCAAGCAGACACGAGAACAAGCCACTACAGTCACTCAAACAGAAGAATGATATGGCATTCATACCTAGCCATTTGAAGGGAGCCAATACCACATTTCCACCAACTCGTGAGGAAACGATACCCAGGAAAGCCACACAGATTCCGCCCGTTAGCAGGCAGTATGACGGCGTCCACAATACCTTACTTACAGGAATGACAATACCAAGACCCATACCGCAGAGGTCAAGGAGTAGGCCACACCCGACGAGCCGTAGAAGCTCGGTGTGGGAGGGTCTCGACTGAATGAACTTCCCACAAGCAAGGCCAAGGGCTACGGTTGCCAAGGAAGGGAGTGTGCTGAGCAGGCCCTCCGGATCCCATAGAGGATTGTACATGTGCTCAGGACCAAAGACCATCCTGTCGATGTTGCTAGCGACGTTACATTGAGGCGTCAAGGAACCTCTAGGGCACCCCTTAGGTTGAGGTCCGAGGAGCATTATAGCCCAGTTGATGACGATACATAGCAAGCCCACGACTAAAACTCGACTGTTGTTCTTCAGCGCACCCTTGACGGTATCATTGGGTGAAAGATCGCTGACGAGCTTGGCAAGGAGCACAGCAGCTGCATAGCAGACAGCTATGCGCTGTAGTATACCAGGGGCTCGGAAAGTGTAGAGGTCCAAGCCGACAGTCAGAGTGTCGATCTGAAATAGGAACTACTGCTAGGGAGCTGGGTAAAAGTCTTGCCCTTGGCAGCCACCTCCCCTGTATGAGGATGCCAAGTAGGATAAGCTTGCCACAACGGCTGATGACACGGGACGTGGAGGGAGGGGACGACGCCAGGCTGACGCTAGTACCAACAACCTGAGCGATAATCGCTCAGCGATTCTGCTGGATTATGTCCCTTCGGAGAACTAACAATACGTGCTCCTAAGGTAGTAGGTCTAGCGAGATAGATTCAGTACGAATATGAATCCAGGCATGACGATATCAGCCAGATGAAGGCCATTCCACGGAGCATGGCCGATACTCGGCACCGCCTTGCCACACACATCGACGATCTGAACAGAGGACCTCTGTCACGTTTTATCGACTCCACGCATACTGAGCCATACCAGCATTATTGACATAACTACGCCCCGCAT